TAACAGCAGCCAGGGCTAAGGTTAGCCTGTCTGCAGCAGCCCTCTCACGGCATAGCCGTGTGTTAAGTGCTTTTGGCTGACATGGCGATTGTTTTGTTTGGCTTTTGCTTAATTTGGAAAAACGTTTGATTTAATTTTATCTCATAAACTTATGATGTTTTATTACCAAAGACCTTATGGAATTATTTTTGTATCTCTAACAGCTACAACCAAGATGTCAGAGGACGAAACTCACAATTGTAAGCTAACTATTGAAGTCTTAGTATTTTTAAATTTTCACACAAGAGGGAGAGGAATTGGGTGGGTGAAAGAAGAATTTAACAAAATTAAATTTTATATATATATATATATATATATATATATACATATGTATATGTACAGTGGGGCAAAAAAGTATTTAGTCAGCCACCAATAGTGCAAGTTCTCCCACTTAAAAAGATGAGAGAGGCCGGTAATTTTCATCATAGATATACCTCAACTATGAGAGACAAAATGAGAAAAAAAAATCCAGAAAATCACATTGTCTGATTTTTAAAGAATTTATTTGCAAAATATGGTGGAAAATAAGTATTTGGTCAATAACAAAAGTTCATCTCAATACTTTGTTATATACCCTTTGTGGGCAATGACAGAGATCAAACGTTTTCTGTAAGTCTTCACAAGGTTTTCACACACTGTTGCTGGTATTTTGGCCCATTCCTCCATGCAGATCTCCTCTAGAGCAGTGATGTTCTGGGGCTGTCGCTGGGCAACACAGACTTTCAACTCCCTCCAAAGATTTTCTATGGGGTTGAGATCTGGAGACTGGCTAGGCCACTCCAGGACCTTGAAATGCTTCTTACGAAGCCACTCCTTCGTTACCCGGGCGGTGTGTTTGGGATCATTGTCATGCTGAAAGACCCAGCCACGTTTCATCTTCAATGCCATTGCTGATGGAAGGAGGTTTTCACTCAAAATGTGACGATACATGGCCCCATTCATTCTTTCCTTCACACGGATCAGTCGTCCTGGTCCCTTAGCAGAAAAACATCCCCAAAGCATGATGTTTCCACCCCCATGCTTCACTGTAGGTATGGTGTTCTTTGAATGCAACTCAGCATTCTCTCTCCTTCAAACACGACGATTAGAGTTTTTACCAAAAAGTTCTATTTTGGTTTCATCTGACCATATGATATTCTCCCAGTCATCGTCTGGATCATCCAAATGCTCTCTAGCAAACTTGAGATGGGCCTTGACATGTACTGGCTTAAGCAGGGGGACACGTCTGGCACTGCAGGATTTGAGTCCCTGGCGACGTAGTGTGTTACTGATGGTAGCCTTTGTTACTTTGGTCCCAGCTCTCTGCAGGTCATTCACTAGGTCCCCCGTGTGTTTCTGGGATATTTACTCACCGTTCTTGTGATAATTTTGACCCCACGGGGTGAGATCTTGCGTGGAGCCCCAGATCGAGGAAGATTATCAGTGGTCTTGTATGTTTTCCATTTTCTAATAATTGATCCCACAGTTGATTTCTTCACACCAAGCTGTTTACCTATTGCAGATTCAGACTTCCCAGCCTGGTGCAGGTCTATAATTTTGTTTCGGGTGTCCTTTGACAGCTCTCTAGTTTTGACCATGGTGGAGTTTAGAGTGTGACTGTTTGAGGTTGTGGACAGGTGTCTTTTATACTGATAACAGGTTCAAACAGGTGCCATTAATGAAGGTAACGAGTGGAGGACAGAGGAGCCTCTTACAGAAGAAGTTACAGGTCTGTGAGAGCCAGAAATCTTGCTTGTTTGTAACTGACCAAATACTTATTTTCCCCCATATTTAGCAAATAAATTCTTTAAAAATCAGACAATGTGATTTTCTGGATTTTTTTTTCTCATTTTGTCTCTCATAGTTGAGGTATATCTATGATGAAAATTACCGGCCTCTCTCATCTTTTTAAGTGGGAGAACTTGCACTATTGGTGGCTGACTAAATACTTTTTTGCCCCACTGTATATATTATTAACATCCCTTGTAACATTGTCAAACGTCTCTTAAGAGATTTCTTCAGCCATTGGTTATGTATGGTAAGTAAAAATAAGTTTGAAGAAATGCTTTCTTCAAGATCACAAGATAAACTCCCTCCGTCTTCTGTTCTAATTAACATCCAACTGTTTTGTCTATATTTATAGACTAGAACCATCTCTATGGCTCTATCTTAACAGCTCTGAATATTTGTGTATCAACAATTTGAGTTAAAAATAGGTACAATAGTGTGTACATTTAATGCCTGGATGCATTATGAGCATCCTAGTGCCTTAAAAAACAAACAAAATATCCATGATTTACAAACTTTGTGAGCTTGCATTTGTCGTCAATCAATTGTCCTCAGCCAATACTTTATAGAGCCACATTTAGCTGCTGTTACAGCTTCAAACCCTTTTGCTTATACAAACATTGACAAAAATGATCGTACCCTTAACTTAATATTTTGTTGCACAACCTTTTTAGGCAATCACCACAAAAAATGATTTCTGTAAGTGTCAGTGAGACTCTAATAGTCCTTTTCTAAGGTCTGACTTTTCCAGATGGCATGTTTCAGCTCCTTTCAAGGAGTCTATGCATTTCTCATAGGCTTCGAGAACGGAGAGCTCCTCAAGGGAAAAAGACGCTCATACACTGGGTGACGCTAGTGCCTTTTCTTTAAGCCCCACCACCAACAAACAAGTTGAGTGTCTGGTAACTAGTAACAACCTGAAATACGCTGAGAAAACAGATTACTGAGGTGAAATGGAATCTGCTACGGCACTATTGCTGTCTGTGTACGCCACAGGTCGGTATCGTGTGTGTGTGTGTGTGTGTGTGTGTGTGTGTGGGTGGGTGTGTCTGTGTGTGGGTGGGTGTGTGTTCTCATTTTTGTTAAGAGGCTGAAAAGTAACTTTCTAGAGCATAGACTACCTCCATCTAGTGATGTCGGTCTATTGATTTTGATGTATTGATTGAAAATTGTTCATTATTATCTTGGTTAATTAACATCTAATGTTAACTGTACTACATTTTATAGCAGTAGGGTAAAATGCTTGTCTTTGTTCAAAAGACTGTATTAACTGTAAAGACTGTCTTTTACATCAGCCTGTTTTCAGGGCCTTTTTTTTGGCTACATATTTGTTATTTTTTGCTACATGCCTCCCCATCTTCTTGCCATATGTTTCTATGGCATAAATCAGTGTCTGTGACCTGTTTTCATTTTAAAAAAAGAACATTGGCACAAACCTAGCCTGTATGTATTTTTTGTATGTCATCGAGAGTATTTAAATGATTTTCAATCAGAAAAAAAATTTGCGATTAAAATGCGATTAATCGCGAGTTAACTCAGGCATTGATGCGATTAATCGCGATTAAAAAAATTTAATCGATTGACAGCACTAATATATATATATATATATATATATATATATATATATATATATATATATATATATATATATATATATATATATATATATATATATATATATATATATATATATACAGTATATATAAAATATAAGACGTTTTCCCTTTAAGAAAAACAAGCTTTGCCCTGAGATCCTTGACATGACACACAGACGACGTCAGCTTTTTAATGTAATAAATGACAGGTTTATTGTTGCACAAAATATACAAAAGAACAAGCAAATGGAGAGCCCCTCCCCCTCCCTCTAGTTCATTCATCATAATGAAGCTGAAATTCTGAAAACCTATGACTACGGCAAGTCTGATGGTCCAAGCCAAACGCATGGTAATTCTGAGATACAACACATACCCGAATTCAGCATCACCGAACAATTAAAAATGAATAGAAACACCTTATTTACACAATCTTGTCAGAACCTTTACAACATGCCATCTATGTATGTGTTACAGGATGCGCTCCGGCACACACCCCCGTGTAGAAAATAGATTATAAATTAAATCAGACTAAGGTCTATAGACATCCAACGTACAGCACTTTTTTTTAACGTTTTCCTTCAACTGTCTGAATTGTGTCTTCGGGCTCATAGTAAAAGAAAGAAGTCTAGCTTGCTGGAGGCGGGAATGTTGGCTGAGAATCCAAGCAGAGCGTGTAGATGTCAGACAAGAAAGGCCTCGCTTATTTACATCAGAACACAGATCTCTCTTCAAATACCTGATTTCTTTCTGCTATTTCTTGTGTTTAAGATGATCAGTTATGTGTCAGGGCTACAAAACACCCCTGTAGCCCCTTTGATGATATAATAAGAGTGTAAACGAGTCAGCTTTTGGCACGAGGTGAAGGAGTGTGCTGTTGATCCCATTGATTCTAGGATCTGCTTTATTTAGCTGTAAATGGACAGCAAAACTAATATGAGAAGAACTGACTTTCCTGGTTTGTTTTTCTCTCAACATAGTGGAAAAAGCTTGATATAGTCAGTACTGAAACATCTTTTTCTTTAGTTTTGGGTGTCGTATTTGAGCCAGATGATATCTCTAAGAAGCTAGGGCTGGGATATCTGAGCAACATTAGCACCATGGAGAACGAAACGCAGATATGAAGCTTTTCAAGTAAGGCCAGAGAACTGATGAAGGTTTTTGTGCTGGAACATGTTAAACGCCGGAGCACATTTACTTGAGCGGATGTTTGTTTTTTGTGCTGAAGGAAAACTATAAATCAGATCAGATGGATGGATAAATGGATAGATGGGTAAAAATTAGAGATCCTTTCATCCTGTACCCCACAGCTGTACTGATGTGGGGGAAAGAAGGGACGGAGGCGGAAGCAAATCTCCGGAGTGGATCCATCACATTGCTTCGTTGGCCTGCGTGTGGAAATCAGTGCAGCTGAGGGATACCAAGCCACCACTTCCACCAGGAACGAGAGGGCTTCAAGGGACCACTTCAGGGGGAAAGAAGATGGCATCGTTTTTTTCAAAGGGTGTGTATCTACTCTTACATTTTGGTTCTGACCTTAATTTTCCCAATATAGCTTCTTCTCTTATCCTAGCAAACTGTTAATCTGAGGCTTGTGTTTCACTTCTTTTAATAAATATCTATAATCTTCATTTCTGGCTTTCCTTCTTTTTTTTTCTCTTTTCTTACTTTACAAAATGAGAGACAGAATGATGGACAGCTGATAATATATATAATTAAATTCTTCTTCTTCTAATCGTCAGGTTGCTCCTAAACCAGAGATGGCTCTCTCCGTCCGTTGTAAACAGCTTTTTTCAGCCTCTGGTGTCTTTTTCCCTCCGTCTTCAAGTGCGCTCCGACATTTTCCCCCTTTCCTCTGGAGTTCTTTCATTGCAGCAGGGCTCTGATTTGTTTGGAGGTGCTGTCATCGTTTAGATGCCGTGTCGTGTACCTAAAGAAGAAGAAAGAAAATGAAACAAAAAAGCCTTTTAATTACAGCAACAGCTACATATATTGGTAACTCTGGCAACATAACCTCAATCACAAAAAAAGGAGAAATATAAGCCTTTATGTTTACCTTTAAAAATCATGTTAAGAAATAATTGATTATTATTTAATCCCCTTAACAAAAACAATACCTGCTGCATTTTAAATCATATTGATCTTTCTGTCAGCTCGAATATTTGGAAATAAGGTAGGGTGGAAGATCTGTGATGCTGAGGGCTTTTTCTATTTTAAAGGCCCTGAGGAGCTTGAGAATAATAAACTCATTGAAATTCCAGAATAATTTTAATAAAATAAAACGGTTTGAACGCTGGAAATAAGTCACTTTTGAGTTTTTCTACAGGATAACAAACGATCCGATTTTCTTCCTGTATAACTAAAAGAAAAAAAAATTTCTAAATTTCTTAAAGTCAATCGTTTCCTTTTATTCTTTTTCTGTGTGTTCTTAACAACAGGAGCAGAATATGGGTCAGACTTTCAAATCATTTGCTGTATTCAGTTTCTGTTCTAAATTGTAGTTTAACTTATTAGAAATCAACTAAAAATGTACGGAATAAAGAAGGTTATTTAAACATGAATCCATTCCAATTTTATTTGTTAATCCCTTAAAAACAACCATATCTGACCAAAGTGCTGTACAGAAAAAAAAGATAATAATAAAATAAGTAAAACAAAGAACAGTACAGATAAAAAAAAAAACCCAAGAAAACAGCTAAAACATTGGTAAAAAATAACATTCACACAATCAAATCAGTAAAATTGGGTAAAAGAAAAAGGAATAAAAGATAAAAAATGATAAAATAAAATAAAGCCCAATGTCTTGCTAGGTGTTAAAAGCCAAAGAAAAAATGTTGGCTTTGACAGGAGATTTAAAAACAGCCAGAGTCCCCTCTGAGCTTCAGCTTTAGGCTCTCTCAGGAGAACCTGACCACCTGGAAGAGCCTGTAGGTCTATAAGGATGAAGAAGCTCAGAGAGGTACGGTGGGGCAGCAAACATTCAGGGATTTAAAAGCAAATAAAATAATTTTAATATGAATTCTAAAATGTATGGACAGGCAGTAGAGTGAGGCTAACATGGGAGAGATGTGCTCATACTGTGTGTACCAGATAAAAAGCGTGCAGCAGCATTTTGAACCATCTGGAGACGGGTGATGGAGGAGGCACTAACCCCCACATAGAGGACATCGCAATAATCCAGCTGAGTGGTAACAAAGGCGTGGATTACCATTTCAAACTGTTTCTTTGAAAGAATTAGCTTTATTTTGGCCAGCTGTCTCAAATGATAAAAACTTGATTTAACAACTGCTCTGATCTGGCTGTCAAACTTCAGATCTGCTTCCACTCTTACCCCTAGGTTAGTGATAACTGGTTTGATATGCTGGACCAAAGAGCCCAGATCTATTCATGCTGTATCACCAAAAAACATCACTTCAGTCTTTCTTTTATTAAAATGTAAAAAGTTCAGAGATATCCAGGCCTTTATGTCATCAATATGCTTGATTAAGGCAGTGATAGAGTGGGCATCTTTCTTTTTAAGAAATTTTTCGTTTCAGATGATGCTACTGGCAGCCGTTTTTAAAAACCTTAAAGCTTAGATGCTAGTCTCTGCTTTACATCCATCTGTACTCACCTCAGTGCATTCAGGAGACCCTCCACGCTGTTGGACGGTTGCTCTTTCAGCACCTTGATGCAGCCTTTCATCTGCCAGCCAACAGAGATGACAGGACATTAGAGGAGAGGAAAGGTCAGCCGCCTGGGATCAGCCTCTTCTACAAGCTGCTGTGTTTATTTACAATTATTTACTGTTTTAACATGGATTTTATTGAACTTTCAATTTTTCTTACCGTTCTATTAAATTATAAACTAATTCAAGTGTTTCCTTTTATGATGGCTTCCCATTTAGACATGACTTTCTTGTTGCCACGGCAACAGAAGAAAGAGAACAAGGTGCACGAATGCTGAGTCATGTTTGGTTTTAAAAAGCTGAATCTGGTCACCAGCAGTGGAGATCAGAAGATTAAATTAAGAATCGGTAATTTATGGCTTAAATATTGAGGCAGAGCTCATACCTCATAAGTTGGCAGGTTGTGTAAGATCCAGTAGATGGAGAAAATCTGACAGTGTCAGGCTTATTGGTAGGTTATCAGATTCGGCCATAAGTTTTGCATTTGTGCTTTCAATTTTTTTAGATTATAAAGTGCCTTAATATCCCAACACTGCTTTGAGTGTTTGACATTTTTCTGAAAATATTTGCAGCACTCACATCAATTTTAGAGGTTTTGGCGAAGGCTCCGACGGGATGGACATGGTCGTAGAGGATGATGACGCCCACCATCACCCTCATGCAGAACAGCATGGTGTCTGTGTTGGTGAACCGGCAGCGGTACTCCCTGCAACATGGAGGATCACAGAGAAAAACGACTTATCTTACAGCAAGTCATCACTTCAAATTAAAAAGGGGGACATAGGCTAAGGTGTGGGTGGTTATAGAGCCGCTGTAGTGAAAACATACAGTACAAATGTTAAAATAAAAGTCCTTTTTTCGTGCAATAAAGGTATTTTTCCTTCATTTGAGCAGGAAGGTAAGACAGTTTATAGCTGGGATAAGATGATTTACAGTTGCAAAAAAAATATATATATATATAATCTTATTTGAATTGGATAATATGTAATTATCTTATTTTAAGGGCACAAATACTCGTTCCATCTGCAGATCATCTTATTTACCTACTCAGTGTTAGGGCAAATACACTGATTTTTCAGACCTTTTTTTCGATCAGTTTTTGCAGTATAATGCTACGTTCACACCGGACGCACTTTTATCAAAACATCTGCTGCTTCATTTTTCATGCTCGTACACATTGAGGTCAGACGCGCGTCAAGATCATGGTTGATGTTCCTGAAGTGCGTCCAGTAAGGTGTGTACAGATACTTCTGATGCCTCTGCTGCTCCTGTGATCAATGGCAGAGAGCGGCTTTGCTATATTTGCTGTGATCAGCTGGTAAAAAAAAAGTTTTATTATATTTTCAAGCGAGAAAATCCACCTCAAAACATCGTCTGTGCAGTCAGTTCATCAAGAGGACGATCCTGTGTTAAAATATTATATTGCTGTGGGAGCCGCTCAGATCCCCACATACTGACGGTGCTGTCACTGGATATCCCCAGCAGCAGCTGGGGGGTTTCTGCTACAGTTCATTGCAGCTGGAAGTAGATGTTATCTCAGGCATGTGGTACAAACTGCAGGCACCAGAATAATAAAAGTAAACATATTTTGCTGGCAGGTTTAAAAATTTTAAGTTAATTTAAGCATTAATAAACTGGTTTAGAGAAGTGATGATAGCGATCTGCATCAGCAGTGATCTCCGTCTCCCTGCCAGCTCCCAGATCAGCTTCTTTGATTGGTTGATATGCGTGTCGAGCACGTCCAGCGCCTCAGATACTCAGACCCTGGTAAGGCGCTGCTTAAGCTGCTCTGATGCGACGACACGCTGCTCATGCTGCCCTAGATGCGCTGCAGGACCTTTTGATGCACCTTGACGCGTGTAAACCATTAACTTTGCATGTAAAACAGCTGTTTCTGCTGCTTCAATCGCGTGCAGTGTGAACATTAATGTTCTTTCTTGTTTTTGCATTGTTTATTATCTATTTTTTTCCCTACTTGCTTTGATTCTGCTTTTTTTCCCCTATATTTTAATCATGTAAAGCACTTTGCATTGTACTGAATTGTGCTATACAAATAAATTTGCCTTGCCTTGCCTTGCCTAATAGCAAATTAGTTGATATTCGCTGACAGCAGGACATTTCTGATTGGTCTGATTTAATGTTTCACCTTTGCAATTTCCTTCGAGTGATTATTTAGAAATTGCGGTCAGTTTTATGCTTCAGTTGCATCAAGATAGGATAAGAGTATTCATCTGATCAGGAGTCCGAAACCTTGGATATGTGTCTCATGAGCGTCCTTGCCCTATTGTTTTGTGTGTCTGAGTTTGTTATTTTTCTAGTTCTCTGCCCCCCATGTAAAAACACTGGCCCCCCCTGCTCATTTTTCTCTAGAACCGCCACTGGGCTGAGGTGACCCCAGATAACAGGGAGCTGAAGGAAAAATCCAGTGAAAAGGAATTTTCTACATTTAGAATCTGTGCATATTAGACTGAAGCTGTTGGATTAGCTCCTCATAGTTAGATCAGCCTCTTTTCTTCACTTTGAAAGCCTGCTAATTATAAAGTAGGTCTCTGGCATCATGAGGGATAGAGAATGAGAGAATGATTATTGGGAGGGAAAACACTTACGGGGTCTCCAGCATGACACGGCACACACAGGCCATGGTGCTCAGGCAGTCTGTGGTGTCCTCTATGGGCAGAGTCTTGTTCTGCACAGAGACAACCACAGAACATATACATATTTAAATCACAAAAAAATATACAAAGAAAGAAAAAACCTGCAAAGCTGTGAAGTGAAGATCATCTTAAACACTAGGGGGAGACAAAACACCATGGAAGAGTTTTGGCTAAAAGGCAGCAGTGAACAGGCTGTCCTCTGCATTTTACATGAGACTCTGCAGGACCCATGACCAATCGGAAAAATGGCATCAAAAAACTCTGATCATGTTTTTATTTTCTAAGATGCCCATAGATGATCATAGAGAAGATCTAATTTCCTTTACAAGAGCACCATCATACTGACAAATATGTCAATATTACCTAAATAAAACCAAATGGAACAATAACAACATTCGTAGAAACTGAGAAACTCTGGGTTAAAATCAAGGAAACTATTGGGCAGGATTTATTTTTTAAACAATGTTATTACACCTTCATGACACTTTCATGTTATTACAGAATGCATGCATGCATTCTTAGGCGCTAAAACAGCTTTCGCTCTTTTAGCAAGGCTTTGAGTATCAACATTCTTCCAGAGACGTTGACGATCATATTCCTAAGAAAGCTGTTTCATATCCTGATATTTTAATTGTTTTATCTAGAGCTGCATTGATCCATTGGTGTTCGACAGTATAGCACCATGCATTGGTGCCTTGTTAAAAAATGTAACTGATTAACACAGATATAACTGTACTTCATATTATTTACTAACAAATAAGCAGCAATAGAAAGAAAAACAGCTCTATGTAAAGTACACTGGATTGGATCTCTGATATCTGAATTAATTTGACTGCATGTTCTGGTTGAATTATAAAGTGCATTGAGCTGACATGTGTTGTTAATTGGCACTATATAAATAAACTGAATTGAATTAATATCTAATTATTTACTAAAGATCTGACTTGATATCCAATTCAGGAATCAGATCAGTGCATCTCTAGTTTTATTATAAACTTTGACTTTAGTTGTCCATCATAGGGCCATATAAAAATCAGCCGTTATTTTAATTGGGGCCAAAGTTCTTATACGTTACCTACAATTAGCAGCAACATTTTAAAGTTAATCCCCCAACATACTTCAGCTGATATTTTCTGCAATGAGGGGCTTTAATTTACTAATTAGGTCCTTTATTCGCCAGGTTTATTGATTGCATTAATACCTCCTTCTTTCCCCTATGTGATCTTTGTTTGTTTTGTTTTTTAAAGTTAGAGTTTGACCTCAGACGACCGTACCTCTGAAACGAACTTGGTGGTGGCGTTACTCAAGGTCTTCAGCATCGGTGTTGCTTCAGCGTAAAACAGGGACATCCGGTTGGCCATTTCGTTGTTTACCTCATTCTCTGCATCCAGCTGTTTGGACCCAAGATGAGAAGCAACAGTTTAATAATCACAACTCACAATAACAGCTGCATGATTATGCCAGCTATGAGACAAGTAACATTACTCTTAATTACTTATTGTGTCAACTAGAATATGGATTGTTGCTAAATGAATGGAAGGGAAGCAGAAGACCCATTTATAATCAATAAATAGTCATTTATTGACTTGGTTATGATCCTACCTGCTGGTTATTCAGCCTGTTCCTACTTATAGTCCTCCTGTAGTAGCTGAAGTCATTCTGAATGGCTGGATTTGTCATCTGCCAACAACATCAGTCAGATTTTATGACGTTATAAAATAGAAATGTCTTTTTTATACATGCAGCAGTGGTGATTATTGGAACAAATGTGGACAATTATTTTCACCTTTAGTTCATCAAAGCTGAGTGTAAAATGCAGAATCTCAGCAAACTGCTTGGCCAGGGCCTGTTCTCGCTCCAGGTGCTGCATGGGCGCGTAGGGTGGGCTGGTCAGCGCCTCCAGCAGGCTGCGCAGAGCGTTCTCTGCAGAGAAAAACACCAAAACCATCGACTTTAACTACCAAACTATCTGTTTGATCAGGTTGTTACACACTTCTGAACTTTTCAGATCATTTTAAAACAAGTTTCTAACAGATTTACAACCTGTTGTATTTATGATACGATATATTACATTCTTTACTGATGTTTTTAATATCATCCATAAATAAATCCAGTAAAGCCAAATATTTTCACAGCTGGGCTAATGTCTCAATATTAACACACCGAGGGATATTTCATAAAACTCAATCATTAAAAGTCAGAATTAGACCCTCAGTTCAGAGATATGTTAGGTCACGATCACTAGTTTCACTAAAATAACTCTTGCTTGCTTAATATCAATAATTCAGGTTCAACTAATCAGTGTTGCTTCTCACATAAGTAGACCATGCAGTCGATCACAGAGCTCATTTAGGAACCATGGTGAAATGTGAATGTAAATCGTATTTTATAAGTAAAAGGTTATGAGGAGTTTAGAAATTTAATGGAAAAATAAAAGTGAAATACTGTTAAACAGGACAAAGAGGATGGCAGGCCATGGCTGAGAGATTAACACACATTATTTCACAATCCGTCCAATTTAAACATGAAATTTAACCAGTGTCAGTTCTTACAACATTTCAATACGTATTAGTATCAGTGTTTTAATGGAAATGTTAAAGATTTTAATAGAAATGTAGTTAAATCTAGTGTCAGTATGGGAATCTTAGTCATAGTTTTAGACCAGAACTGCATTTTTTTAAGAATTAGTCAGATTTTAGTCAGCTACGACCTTGTTATACATATATATATATATATATATATATATATATATATATATATATATATATATATATATATATATATATATATATATATATATATATATATATATATATATATATATATATATATATATATATATATATATATATATATATATATATATATATGTCTGTGTATGTCTGCATTGAGCCAAGCCTTTATATGGTGCTATACTGTCTGACACCAGAGTCTGACCTCTGAGGCTGCATGGTGTAGAGATGCATCAAAAGCAAAGCCTTCTGTCACCTCATCACTTCCCCTGCATTAAAAATGCATTATGGCCTCCTATAAATACAACAGAGAAGTGTTTAATCTAAAGGGCCAGGGCAGAAACCCCTCTCTCCCTCCTGCTGCTACCATAAAGCACCTGCTCTCCATCCTGTGCACTGACTGCTATTGATTGCTGCGTTGCATCAAGTATCACTTTGCTGAATTGTATTCTATTTTCTACGTATAATCTGACAAAATATGTTGAAAAAAATGAAATAAGTACAGGTTGCAGAGAGAGGATGTGGAACATGTAGGATGGATCATAAGGATTGTATCCTTCCCTCTCCATCATGATGGAGGCTGAGCTCCCTTCTGATAAGGTGGAATCATTCTCATCAATTATTAGCTAGCCCTCACTTTATGGTAAGCTGAGAACACCGTGTCCCTGAAATGGAGATATTATTGGAAGGCAGAGCAGAGGCGGCTGCTGAACTCCGTTTCGCTCTCTCTGTCTTTTTCAGCACCGGACAAACCATGTACCACTGTTTCCTTAGCAACGGCAGCCTCGTGGCTTGGTCAGGATGCGGCAGAGATGCTGTCGAGGACAGGGCTTGGTTTTGAGCGTGAATGCATGTTTAGGAATGCTGAGGAACTGAAAAGCGCAATTCCAAAACATCGGAATAGCTTCAAACTAACATGACAGCACTGCCATCTGACTGTTCAGTTTTCCCAAGGTGTATAACAAAAGCTTCATTTACCACTTTTATGCATCTTTGTTTTCCCTGATTTAAATGAAAAGTATACTAGCAGAGATTAAACTCACAAGAGTGAAGGATTTCAGTCCCCTTTAGCAGGATGTTGTGGCAGAAGGTTAACTAAACGAAAACTATGCTTACATTACAGTGACTTATATAGAATGTTTGCGTGACGGAGGATCTGTCAGTTCAATCATTTTCTCATCCATACAACCATTTTGTCTATTACTTCAGAACAAGACTTTCCATTTCTAAACTTTCAGCCATTCCTTGGTGGATTTGCGCCATTGTCATTTTAAAGAATCCAAATCTGCTTCTACTTTTTAAGAGACGATTTTTACATCTTCCGTAACCTGCCTCTGGGACACGGTGATAATCATGGTGGATTCTAGACTCTCTATTAGGGTCATTTCCTAAAATGCTATATTTGGTTTATTCCCAACAAGTCTTGTTATGGTTTTGGTTCTGTTTCATTTTTATCTTTGAGTTTTAATTGGTTTTATTTATATTTTGTTTTAGCTATTTTTGATTGTATCTGCGTTCTTATGTATTTTCCTGTTTGCTCTCTGTTGCCCTCTTGTGTCAGTCTCCTTTTCCTTAGCTCCCTTCTAGACTCCTCTGTTCACACCTGCTCCCAAACTGCTGATTAGCCTGGTCTTTGTTTCTCTCTCCCATATATGCACCTCCTGCTCAGTAACTGTTTGCGATTTGTTATCATTTCTTTGCCCTCTTGTTGTGAGTATTCCCGGTTCTCCGTTTTTGTGGATTTATGTTTTTGGATTTTTGCTTCTGCTGAACTTTTTTGGATAATAAATCTTCTGGTCTTCTGTTCTGGTCTTTAAATAGTTAACTTCAAAGCTAATTTGTTCAAAGAAAATTATTCCAGAAAACCTAGTCCGTGTTAATTTAATGCTTTTCTTAAAAAATTTGTGCATCAAAGCCTTTGTATTTCTGTTAGAGAGCAGACAGTTTCTCACCTCCCAAAACTCAACTAATGCCGCCGCCTCTTTCTAGTTGTACAAAGAAACCCCTCTGCTATAGACAGCATCTTTCAGCATCTTGTTTTCTGCTGTCTTCTAGTATTTCTATTCTATGTCATCTACTTGAAGACTATTTTTTGGAAGCTGTAAAGGCTAATTTCTAACTATTTTCATCCCTGTAAAGCCTAATCCAGTGAATATTAATCAGAATGTTTTGTTTAATTTTTTTAAACTATAAGGGTTATTGAAAATGCTGACAAATATAAACAAAAAATGTAATGAGTCACATTAAATATGCAATTTGTATTATTTGTGATACAGTAGGCATTACTGTGCAGTTAAATATAGATGTTCTGTCCAATACATGTGTCTGATGTGACACTGATGATAAAGAGATCTCATAAATTCAGGTATCAAATATGATAAAGTGGGTGTTAAAGGGTTAACACCTTTTTAAATCCATACTGGACTCATAAGCTGCTTCTTTTCTCAGAAGGCAACGGAAAGTTTAAGTCTTTTACACTTTAATTCTGCTCTCCTTTGTCAGGATTACACCAGTTCAAACCCTCATGTGCTCCGGATGTAACAGATGCCTGTGATTTTAACCATTTTAAGTCGAGAATGAGCCAATGCATTCCTTACCTAAAATTGAAGTTTACTAAAATAATTAATTGTATTTCCCTTACTTTCAGTTGTTGTAATAAAGGATCACTTACTGAAAATCAATAAAAAAAAAAGTCTATATTTTATTTCAGGATGCTGCATGGTTTCCTAATTTCCCAAATTGAATGTAGCTGATGCATGGCTATAAAGGAGTTTAAAGTAAATATTAAATTGTTTCTGTTTATCTACATGTTATAAAGTTAGTGCAGCAGCACAGCTGGCTGGTGTAAAAACATAGAAAAGTAGTAACTTGTGCTTTTACATTCTCTACCTTCTATTGCCATTAATGAAAGTAAACCATGGCAGTAAAACATCTATCACATTTCTGCTGCATGCCACCCTGCTGCAGTTTTCTCCACATCTCCAGTAGTTCATAAATATTCAGTTGCAGTAGCTTCTTTGCTTAGATTTAGTTTTGAGTTCTAGTTAATTTCAGGTCACTTTGAGCTTCTGATCCGGATTAGACGGCCATATTGTTCTGTCACCCTCTTGGATAGTTTTCAGCTTTGGTTTTTAGGCTCACCCAGTCTGAGGGAGAACTCATAGAACCTCTTCAGTTTGGCCACCAGGGGGCAGACTGCGTTCCAGGCTTTCTCCTGAAGAGCAAGGTCGCCAGGGTTCTGGATGGCCTGCAGGAGGGTACACAAAAACAGATGTCATAATTAAAAATAAAAAAAAAACCTTCTCTGAACTCTTCTTCTGCCATTTTTTTCACGATAAAGAAACATTTTCCATATTTGGGTTCAAGGTACTTTCTTACCACAGCATCTCCAACTGACGGATACATATCTAGATCTAACAAGTTTGCATTACAAACCAGATATATGAGGATGTATAGGTTCTAAAGAAGGAACTCAAATCTGGCTAAATTACTTCGACTAAACTAATCAAATTCAGGGGCATCACTTGAGTTAATTTGGTATTAAGTGATTATACATAAATCTATTTCTCATGAGACGTAGGCAGCAGCATTTAATTATGTTCATACTTCTATTGAAGTAAAAGTCTCTCTCAGAATAAGTGGGATTTTCTCCCTTTTCTTTGCTTCATGCTTCACTGACTGAAGGTGGGGCGTGAAAAGTGAACCAGGTCCAGAGAGATGAAGACTGACTGAGATTTTTGTGCTTTATAACATTTCTTCAAGGTCTGCGCGTCAGCAAAGCAAAGAAATGATTCAGCGCTTGTCGCTGAAGTCATAAAAGTAAAGTCAGCAGCAGAAAGCATTCCTGCTGAGGATAAAACACATTTTCTGGTACATGTTGCTGTGAAAAAAGCTTAAAGTACTTTTCCTGCCAAAAAGGTTATCGTATACTGTGATCATTTAATGTGTAACAAAAAAAAATGCAATGTGTTTTATCTGGAGTTTATTCAAAAGAGCAATGCATATGGAAAAAAGTCGAATGTGTGACCTTCATGCATTTATGGGATGTCACAACTGTGCCCATGGAGAAACATGGTAATAAAGATGTTTTTCTTCAACAAGGGTATTAAAGCTGGTTAAACGGAGGGAAGTTGGAGCTAAAACAGGAATACAGGAGATAAAACTGTAAAGAGATGGAGTCACCTTTAGGTTTACCTAAGAATATAAATTGATTTATCATGTGTGGAAAGAGTTAAAGGTATAGTGGAGGATGTTCTTTTTCCGGGTGGATCATCAAAATAAGTGGTCCATGTTTATGTAAAGCCTTCCTACGTGCTCATCCCCATTTTCACCTACTGGTGAGAGTCTGACTTAGTGGAAAAAATGCTAATTTTCTTGTGGAAGCTAAGCTTGTATGAGCGATGAACACAGCAACTTTTAAACAGAGCGTGCACGAGGAGAAATGGGCTTGTGCTCTTGCACGCATTCTCGGGAGTGGATACAGGGTTGTGCATGTGCACTTTTTTTTTAAAGTGCAGAGGGCAGTTCTTTACAAGAATTTAACAAAATCCTCCACTATACCTTTAAGTTAAAGTTCAGAATCTGTGGCAAGACTTTAAAGTTGACTTGACTTGATGTTTGAGAAGGATTTGAGCTTCTAGATATATAAAGCTGTTAAAGATTGAATAATATTATGGACTTGTTTTGCTTTGCTGCAGCATATATAATCCTAATAACATGCCATGAAGGTTGTAGCTTAAGAGAATGTGAAAAAGTCAGAAGACTATAAACCAACTTTTGCAGGACAATTTGCTTTTTGAATTTCGTTGGCCAATATTTTGTTTTTCCTGTTCATCTCTGAGCTCCTCACCTCTCGTATCTCCTGCCCCGCGCCGTTATAGGACTGCAGCTCAGCCAGGATGCCGTGGGCCTCCTCCAGGACGGCACTGACCTGGTTCCACACGGCCGTCTCTGCCTCGGTGGGCTGGGCATCTGCCCCGGTGGGGAGGGAGAGTGGAATATAAGGTAAAGGGACCAGATCAAAGTGTTCGTAGAGAGAAGGCAAAGAGCAAGAGAGAGGGGTGAAAAAGAGCAGAGAGGATCGGAGGAGAGAAGAAGGTTAATAAGGCAGAAAGAGTTAAAATGTTGTTCTAGACTAGATAAAAACCTGGGATTAATCTCTCTGCTGCTACAGCACTTTATCAAACTGAGGCTTGAATCTGACCCAGGCATCAAAGATTCACTCTGACTTTAAAAGCTTTCTAGATTTTTATTTTTTGGGAAACCCTCTGTCACACAGTGAGGTCTGATTACATGGTGACCGCCTGAAAACCGAACTACAGCCTGTCTTTATGGGATTAAAGAATTAAATGAAGGGTTTTTAGAAGCCTGAATGACATTACATGGAAAATATGTCTCAGCTGAGGAAAGATTTCTACAGATCGTCTCGCATCTACAGGATTGTCTTATTAATATTTGCATCCCATGTATAAACCTCTGCTAAGTATTTGGATTAATTCACACTGGCATGACAGTGTATTTAAACTTTTCAGTTATCTCCATTGAGTCAACTTTAAAAATAAAAATAGTAAACATTAGGTTTGATTTCACCACGATAATGTTTGGATAAATGCAGCCTGTTATTCTGCTTTATTTATTGGAAAACCAGTTTGTGACGACCTACAGGTGCCTTAATCTTATTTATACATTTTTTTTCATCGGTTTTGTCATTTTTTTGTTGTTAGTTTCAAAGTACATTTAATTTTTTTGTGCATTTAGATTTTAATGCTCTCAGATCACTGGTTGCATTTTATCTGTGCGTCAACTCAGCTTTATTAGTGTAAATTAGTCCTTTTCTCTCAGCCTCTCTGCTTACCACTTGTTTCTGCTGTTCTTAATTATTCCATCAGATTCTATGTCTCTCTCCACACTTCCCTCAGCATTGGCCATTGTTTCCAGCTGGATCCTCCCCCTACACTGCCTGCCATCTCCTATATTTCACATTCTCCTCTTGCTCCATATCATCTTTATCTTGTTTTGTTTTAGTAATTTTTTCTCATTTCTATCATTAAATCTTCATTTTGCACATCCCATAGTCCTGTTTGTGCTTCGGTCCTGCAAACAATATTCAGATAATGGGAATGGTTGGTATGATTCTCTTCTTTTTAACCAGTTTCAAACATTTTACCCCCCTCCAAAGAAAGACAATTGTCAGAAAGCCACCGAATATAAGGCCTGAGATGCTAGAATACCCAGGTCACAATGTAAAACTTTTTTTTTTTTTTTTCATCAGTAAGGATTAAAATGATGCCTAAGTAGAAATTAGTAACTTTAGAAATTTCAGCAAATGGAAAAGCCAACTGTTTTCTTGAGATAGGTCACAGTGACAAGAAGCATGTTGGAAAATATCAAGATGCTTTTAGACCCCCAAAAATTTTATTAATAGCCTAAAGTGGTGGCAGTATCATGCTGAGGGCCATCACTGATGCATGCATCTTTACAACTTCACCTCAAACCAGCTGCTAGATAGTCTAGGCTTGTTTCCAACCTCTGTGTTAGTAAATTAAACTTTATTGTGCAGACATAATTGCTCATATTAAAGGTTTCAAACTGAACAATTTAAAGATCAGATTATTTTATATGTCAGCTGATGAGATGATGTAACGTTCAGGACGTACCAAGTCATAACTAAGTTTGGTTTTATTGTCTTTCTGAAGGTCTCAGGGGGGATGGAGGGACTGTGGAGCGTTACCAAGCAGCTCACTGCAGATGATTCCTGCACCCGAAGGCGCCGCCGCCCTGCAGAGAGCCGGTAATCATTGGAAATGTGCTGTCCTGTGCACACAGCGGCTGCCCTAATAAGCACAGCAACCTTTTCTATATTTATAAAGCCTCATTACAGCCTCCTTTATTCTTCAGACAACATGCTGTTTTTACTAGGTATTAATTAGAGAACGATAACAAACCAGTCTCAAGAGCTAAACGGGAGGATCAGTAACTCTACTGTAAGCTTTATGTATACCTGGACTCAAGAAGCTGTTAGTTTATCTTAGATAAATAAAATAATAAAAATACAAGCAGCTCCTTACAGTTTAGCTTCTCTCTGTAGCATTAAGATAATCCATCTCGTAATTATTATTTATGAAATTATTGTCTGAATGAGCAGTTGCTCTGATCTCCTTCTTCCAGTCTGCCGGATCAGGATAATCTGCATCCTATAAAATGTTTTATTTCTGAGCTCTTCATTTTTTTTAAGGGCATTTCAGACCAGGAAGGCAGAAATGAGATCAATGAAACTCATATTGGAAAAATCTGGAAAATAAAGACACATTAGATATCAATACAAACTGAGGTACATCTAAAAAAAAAACCTTCCCAGGAGTGGCTGTAGGTAAAAATACGCCCAATGCTTGCTAACGCTTTTATACCTGTGAGAATGTTCATATCTCTCAACATCATCTTTAATCATGTCTAAGTGGACATTTGGCAAAATTTTATTTTAAATTTTATTTTATTCTAAAATGTATTTTAGTTGAAACATTTATCTTATTCTATTTTTATGTGTTTATGTATTTTAGCCTTTAGCTTTTATCTTATGTTCCTTAACTGTGATTCCTGTACAGCACTTTGGTAAATGTGCTTTTATAAATAAAGTTTGAGTTGAGTTGAGTTATAAATCTTTTACTTTGTTTTAGCAGCATTTTTAAGTCATAAAGAAGTCATCTTCCAGAATGACCCATTTTCAATGTGCTAACACCATATATATATCTGTACCGGAGGCACCATCAGCTCATTTGGACATGTGCAACCTGATATTCATCCAGATCACCATTAATAATGAATTTACAGTACATAATGTTCTTGTGTCCTTAAATCATCAAATAATGCAAACTATATTGTATGAAAAATGATTAATGACTTTTGTGAAAGAATTGGATGCGTTTCAGACTCTTAGTTATATGGCTTGTCTGACGTCCTGATCAAAATGCAGATTTATTGAAATTATATAAATCCCCAAACGCTTCTATTTTATGTTGTGGTTTTAAATTCACATATCCACCTGAGTCTCTGTAACTATTGATTTATTTCAGCTAAAAACATTTTTTGCAACATTTAGACATTTTCTTCCTGAAGTGTCATGATGGACCCCTAAATGACATCCAGCTTATTCTTTGTTGATTTTCTCTCTCAAACATGGTGCTGTAGTTAAGTTTCCAAGCAAAAAGGTCGCCTCTTATGGGAGCTGAATGTAGCTCGTACCAGACTTGTGTGACAGAGGTGAGTGCGTCCCTCGGCTCCGCAGAGAGAGCTCACAGATGGCCCAGAGGTGGCTGAGGAGGGGGGAAGGTCTTCTAAAGCTGCCATTCCCGTCTCTGACTCATTCCTTTTCACTTTTGAAGTCGAGTGAATCACATGCATAATGAAACGGGGGGGAAATTCAGCCTATTTGAGAGTTTGACGTCTCTCAGGCCAGCTCCCCCCAACTCCCCCCACCCCCATCCCCAACATGCAGCTGGCAAAGGAGGAGAAGGAGGAGGATGTCAGCTGTTAAAGGAGGAAAGTGGCAAAAAAGGGGCAGGATATGAGGGGATACAGTGCAAATACAGCGTAGTGAGAAAGTATTTTCCCCTTCACAGATTTCTTCTATTTCAGATGAAGAAAATTACAATTACATAGAACGATAACATCACTAAATACGTAAGAAAGCTATCAGAATCAACCTGACCACGTGTGAAAAAATGCTTTCTCTTCACTATTTATACAACATTTTTGTGGTTAAAAACAGGTAACCACTCTCTGGTGCCTTGGCCAATTACTCTTTTCAGTTGTGCTAATTTCATCCATGTTGTTCAAGCGAATGAACAGCATTTTTAAGGTCATACCAAAGCATCCTAGCCGGACTTATGTCCGGCCATTCAGACATAGACTTGCTTTTGCTGCTTAAAAATCCAAGTCCACTTGAACCTGCTTTACACCTGATGTTCTGCTAAACAGTTCTGAGTCAAAGCGAGCCCCCTTGAGTCCTTAAGCAGTAATGCAGTACTAAAGCAGACCGTATTTGACTGTATGATATTCTATGCTATGGCGTCACATTTATTTCAAAACTCCTATAGCGAAATAAACACACTCGTATGTATGTTAACCTACTTCTGCACATGGTTTATCTACCACTGCACACGATCACACAGGAAGTAGTGTCAGGAAGGCTTTCGTGTCTGCAAGGCCCAATCAGGAGAAGGCTTATAGAAGAGATTTGTCTGTGTCAAAAAACTTTTCTTTGCGCAAAGAGAAAATTAGTCCGAGGGCAGAGATGCTTTGGAGAGCGCCGCTGTCCTCGACCGTGGCCGCTGGACAGAAAATCATGGGCGCAGTGAGATCCCGAGCACAATCCAGAGCGTCCGTGGAAGGAGCTGGTGCACATGTAGAGCGATGTTTCTCCTCTCAAAGTGGCGTTCTCGTGCATGTGTGATTTAGCTGTCCATTGATAAATAAAACATGCGCAGAAGTAGTTTTTTGTAGTTGTATTTTGTTTGCAGGTTTTGAACTAAATGTGACGCCATACTTGTCCTCTTCTGGCAATAAAGGAAGGCGAGCCGCTCCTTTGAAGATTGAGCACCGTTCCATGTTTTCTCGTATATTGATAACTGTATGTTGTTCAAGCTTTAAAAATCCTTTATGAATTCTTGGTAGAATGATAGAAGCAAATGGCTCCTCACCAGATTTTGGAAAATAATTTAAATGCAGGTAAAAATGAGATTTTTTAGATCTTTTAGCCTACTTCTTGGTGTCAGATAATTACGATACATGTCGCATCTGCAGGTTGTTGAAACGACACAACCAAAATTTGGTTAATTGAATTTGATTATTGATTTAAATAGGGGAGCAAACAGACTTTCAGAAAAGGTCAGGTTAGTTTGGATAGCTTTACCCCACAATTAATAAAAACTGCATGTTGCTATTTTATGATTTTAACAGTAGATTGGTCTGAAAAGCTTAAAATATAGCAAAAAGCAAATCTTTAGGGAGAAATACTTGTTCACCACATTGTGTATCTACATCCTAACAAGCTCTTGTCACTTGTAATCAATTTTAAAATACTCCAGGCCAACTTCTTTTAAGGTAGAGAGAAAAAAACAGCCCAAGAAGATGAGAAAGATTTGAAAATCTAAAAGATCTTGTTAGGATGGGTGATTTTTGCACTGCAACGTCTGAAGAGGGAGAGAAAGAAGCACAAGGGACCATTTTTATGAGTATTTTCTCCACAATCATTCTCTCCTTTCCAATCTCTTCATCACGCTCATATACATCAGCATTTGTTAGTGAAAAGCAAAAACACGCAAGTCGATCTGACATCCAGCAGAGGATGAGGGGATGAGGATGTGCTTGGATGACGATAGACTGTAACATCGTCATACATGAGCAACAAAAAGACCCACGCAGGACTGACATTTGCTGTTTATTTGTTCTCATCTTTTTTGGCTGCGAATACCAAAGCGTATTGTTTCCCTTTCTGCAGCAATGTTGGCGTACTTTTGTGCTTCTCTGTGATAGAAAGACTCTTTCAAAGGAAGCCAAATGATTTTAAAAAATGCCAGTCCTTGAAAGAAAAGATAAATTGTGAGGAGGGAAAAAAGAACAGAGAAGATGTTACAATGGTTAGCTAAGATGGATGGAACGATGAGAAAATAAAGGGAAAGGCAACATAGAGAAAGGTATAACTCAAAAAAAGAAGCTGATGGTCTCACGTTCAAAGTCAAGGAAAACTATTGGCCCATGCTCAAGTTCGGCGCAAGCCAGCACTTTCAGGAGGTTTCCCATGAGCCCCCTGGAACAGAGAGAGGGAAGAAGTCTGTGGGTGATGAGGGGATGGCCCTGTCGGGGGTGGTGCGCACATGGGTGTATGGATGTGTGTGTGTGAGCCGTATTTGTGTGTGTGGCGTGCAGGAGGTGACGTGGTGGAGGTGGGCGACCGGATGAGAGAATGGCATGATGGGAGTAAGGCCTGGGTGATGCATGAAAACACTGACAACAGAGCGGCTTCAGTCGCACTCTCATGGATGCTAAACAATTCAGAACAGACCCACATATAAAGGCCCTGATTCAGAACCACAAAGTTCTACCAATGAAAATCAAACGTGTAAGATTTAATCCCATTAATCTTTGGCCACATGAAACAGGAAAATGTTAAGAAAAACTCTCATACAACAATTTCTAATTTACTATGATAGGCATAGGCTGGTTTTAAAGTATGCCACTGTCTAAAATGATCCTTTTTTAAAATCTATTGATATTTCATCATGCTGTTTTTTAAACGCCTTTAAGTAAGAAAAGGCTAGCTTCCCATCCCCCACTTGTTGCTGTGAGCTGATAGCTTTGTATGAAGGTTCTAATTAAGATGGTTCCCTTTAACTTTAATGATTAAAAATGTCAGTTTTTTTGTTTCAAAATGGCGTCTATAGGCTTGCTAGCAAAGCAGCTAATATAGCTAAAGCAGTTATTGTAGCTAAAATAACCTTGTCGGGCTCCCAGCATTAGCATAACAATGCTGTAGCATTACTTTATAACTAAATTTAGTTGGTCTTCTCCTTTTGTTTTTATTTACCACATGTTTAGCTTTAAAGCTAGTTTCTTAGCTTTTTGGTGTATTAGCTAGCATGCTACTTGAGACTAAATTAAGATTATTTAAACAAAAATCCACACACTTCCGATTCTGTGCTCGTGTTGCATCCTGAGAGCACCATTTTTCATAAAGTTTGTGAAAAAAAATATATATTTGCAATTTTATTACATCCAGAAGAAGTGCATGCACCTCTGTCACTAAGTTAGACTGAGGATGAGGATTTAAGCAGTTTTGTCAGTCTCACTTTTATCACTCGGGCATGTTTTAGGAGGTGTTACAACACGGTGGCATCAGAGGGCTTCTGATAAGCCTCAGGAACATTGAAGGAATCCAAATATGCATCAGGTGGAAGTTTAAACTGCTGAGTCATTTCTTTGACAAATGCATGAGGAATTTTCTATAAACATTTGTCACTAAAGCCTCAGTTAGCTAAAGCTGTCAAGTAAATACACTGCAAAAATGATCTAGAAATAAGTAAAAAATTCTTAAATTAAGTGTATTCACCCTTAATTTGAGTAGGTAAATGAGATAGTTTGCCAATGGAATGAGTAATTTTACTTTTAAAATAAGATAATTAGATAATATGCACTTGAAATAAGACAATGCAATTGTGTTTTCTTACTTTAAGTGTAAATTCTCTTGTTCCATTGGCAAAATGTCTCTTTTACCTCCTTAATTCAAGAACAAATCAACTTATTTTAAGAAAAAATGACTTATCAAGATTTAGATTTTTGGCAGTGTATAACTTGAAAGCTCTGAACTGCAGAGAAAATCAGACTTTATCGGAAACTATTTGGGTTTAAACATGAGTTGAGTAAATGCCAGAATTCCTGTCTTCCCTAAGCATGTGTGGGATTTCTCTGGGTACTCCAGTTTTCTAGCCATAAGGCCTGTTGTCTGAAACAGGTACAATGTCCCCCAATGACTCCAAAAACGATTTAAGTGATTTTTTTTGGCAGCACTTACTATACAACAGCAATTTAGTTATGCTTATTTTTTATTTTTGCTAATGCCATAATACTTTAAAACCAAAGTATTTTTGACGGTCAAGACATTAGAATGTCCTTCCCGCCTATGCCTCGCCTGCTGCAGATAACAGTGTTCTGATTCACAGAAATGCACGTGTCTAAAGATGGTATCTACACGATTATCTGACTGAGAGTGGGACTGAAGAGCATCTGATAATGAGAAACAACACCCTCAACAACACTCCATCACACCATCAATGACTAAGCCGATTGCATCCGAGCGTGTCCCCCTCCGAGCCCCGTCAACCCACCTCCCACGGCGCCACCTTCCGCTCCACACCCACAGTTCAAGCACACAGACACGTGCACACACACCCTGGCGCTCACTTACTTTCAAAGTCCAGGAAAAAATGCGGACAGTTCTCTAAATCCTTGCCAAGGACCTTAATGAGGTTCCCCATGGCCAGCGACCTGGACAGGAGGAAACAACAGAATGCATACAGAACCTGGAAGCCCGCTTGGAAAAACACACAACAGACACATGGAGAGCACCTCAGGTTTGTTCACCTATCTGCCTATTCCCTCTTTGTCTCTGCATCCTTCTGATGAAGCAGCATCTTCAGAGCGGAAGCAGACATTCCAGTCATCAGTGACACTGATCACAGTTTATGTCCAATACGCTGTATCCACTTACAGCAGGGTCTAAATCCAGCACTGAATCATTTAGTTCACTTAGTGGGAGTCACTAGAGCTGGGCAGTGGTTTTAATCCATTTACATCACAAAAGTAACCCAATAAAAACCCAACATATAACGACTGCTCCCATCTAATGGTTTTTATAAGCGGTGGTCTATAGATGCTTTATGGAGAATTTTCTTAAACCCTCGAACCGCCAGGGCAGATGCCAGGGCTTAAGAAACCACAAACAGCGTAAGAAGTAGAGTGCTTTGCAAAAGTATTCAGATAGGTTGAATATAACGTGTATTTTATTGGGGATTTCATGTGATAGACCAACAAAAAGTAGCACGTAATTGGAACGTAATGAGAAACTATGTATTTTCTCCATCAACCAGCTCTTTAAAATCTAGCCACTTCTTTCTAGAGACAGATAGTTCTGCTCATCCTTGTTTTCCAGATAGAGTGGATGGTTCTGAATTTCTCTGGACTTTCTCTTGTCTATTTTCTCACACATGAATATTGTCTGATCTAAACCAGGGCATTCAGCTGTGGCTGAAACTTTTGGGTTGTTTTCCTGCTGAAGGATAAAGCTTGAGACATGCAAGTCTCAAGTTATCTGTTGAACTTTCCTTTCAGAATGAACCTGTATTTGGCTTCATCTATCATCTCATCAAGCCTTAAGCATCCTCCTTCTTGCTGAAAAACAAGTATTCTTTTTAAATTGTCTCTCTATTTCTGGATATCTTTAGTTGCCAGATCCTTGGACTGCATAACTTAAAAGATTTCCTGTAAAGCAGTGGCGGATTTCTTATCTCTGAAACAGGGGAGGCTCAGCGGTGTTAATTAAATCTGAACGCCACGTATTATATTTACAAATGTTGAAACGCATTGAACACATCACTGCAATGGGTGAAAATAGCTGCTATGAATGCTCGGAAACAAAAAATCCACAAAAGATGATTGCTGTGACTGATTTATCACTTTTCCCTCTCTACTCACGAGTTAAACCTCCTCTCTGTCTGGCCACAGTCAGACCCTCTAAGAGGTTTATCCTCAGCGGAGGTGACATAGTTTAGCGTCTTATCCAATCAGGGCTCTACTGTCTCGCTGCTTCCCTCCCTTGATTGAGGCTCAAACCACAACAGGGATTTCTGAATGGGTCCGAGACACAAAATAAACAGTTGATTAATGCGCAACATACTCATGAAATCAGGCGCATTTTAGAGCTTATTTAAGCCTGGTTCAGCTGGAGGTTTCTTCCTGTTAAAAGGGAGTTTTTCCTCTCCACTGTCGCCACAAGCATGCTTAGTGTGAGGGATTGCATTTGAGTCAATGAGTCGATGCAATCAACTGGTTTTCCTTAGATGGAAAACTTTGAATCAATTTAACTGTATGATCTGGTTGAACTGTAAAGTGCCTTGAGATGACATGTGGTGTGAATTGGAGCTATATTAATAAACTGAATTGAATTGAATTAATGCAGTTTATTGAGTACAGTTAAGAGGTTTAGCGTCCCTATTCAACGAGAAATCGCCACTGCTTTAAAAATAAAATCTCCCACCTCCACTGTGGATCTCTATAGCTCCATCAGAGTTAAAATGGCTTTTTGGCTGCTTCCCTCATTGATTCTCTCCTTGCACAGGGTGTCTATTGTTGTGAACGGCCATATGTCGGAAAATATGCTCAGTCTAATGTTAGTTCAAAGCTTTAAAGGTAAAGAATACTGTTTTATACCATTACCTTGATTTAAACTTCTAGTTAGCCTTATCCTTAATCTTTCTGCTTTGGTCTTTCATCATGCTGCTATTTCTCTATTCTCTAATTAAGCCTCTGAGCACAGAGCTGCATATTTACTATTAAATCACTGGATCAATTGATCAAACAGGATTTTGTTTTGCGTTTAACAAATTGTGCCGCACTCTTGACAATTTATATCTTGGTTTATCACATAAAATTCACATTTAAAGAAAAAAAACATGTATGTTTGTCACTGAGCCATGTCGTCGTGTGAAAAAGCCCCAAAGGCATTGCTTATTTTAAAAAGGCAATGTAGGTAAAGTATAATACAAACCACAAACAGCTAATTTTTGTAACATTAGCATGAGAAAGAGGAGGCTGCCGACTAACAAATGAAAGAAACACTCGAATATAGCTGTGGAAGCCTAAAACCTTTTTTCCCTATTGAACAACAGGACTTTTGCAACAGCTGCCAAGTTTTACTTCCTCTGCTGTCTTTATGTGCTATGTTAGCACTCAGGAGGGGCCTGCCGGTTTCTGCAGGAAGGAATTACGTCCAACATTAGCATGTTTATGAGATTCTACTGTCGCGTGTGCAAGAGTAAGAACAAGGACCAGTCTTGTTGTCGTTATTCAGCAAGAACGGCTGTTGCAATGCAGCACCCTGGTACCGCTCGACGAACCTGACATTCACCGTCATCTCCAATGATGCCCTTACCTCCTCCAGAATCATCCTGTATCTACATCAGCAATGAGGAACATCTGCTGCTGAGTCACACATGAGTTTAGCCCACACCTCATCTAACATTGTCTTATAACCTTAGAGAATACATGAATAGGAGAGTTTGACAAGTGGGCTGCCGTGAAGCAGCCGAGCTGAGTTTCATACAAAGGGATGAAAACTCGGTGACGCAATGTTTCTCTTTGTCACAGGTAGCTTTGCGTCAGGCTGCATCCACACGCATACATGTCAGCACGCTGAAGAATCTGAGACTGGAGCAGCATGAGGTCCATCCAGAGAGCAGCGGATGGTTGCCAGGATACCGTTGGGCTCGTAATGCTGCCAGCTCGCCGCAGCTGAAGATGGAGGGAAGCTGCTTCTGATATGTGTCCATGAAATGAAATCAAACCTTGCTTGGTGGAAGCAGGAGGGCAACACATATCAAGAATAATGAAATCTTAAAAGCACCTGGAGTACACAAACGACTAGGTCTTACCCTCTTTTCCTCTAAGAGTAGCTTTTCTTCCTCAGTTTCACCTCAAACTCTCTCCTTCTACTGTCTTGGTTGTCTTTGTGTTTTCCCAAATCGCCGCAGTAAGTAAATCCCCAGTTATTCCAGCTCAAAATCCCACAGTGGCTCCAGTTGCCACTCGTCGCCTCTCCGGAGATGGATGTAAACTCGTGCTCTCGGTCTCTCTGCCTCCCTCTCTCTGAGCATAAAGTCCACTTCACACTTCTCTTTTCTCGATCTATTTAAAGCCCCGTGGTTTTCTCTATTAGCTTCGACCCAGATGCTGCTCTGTTCCTTCTGTCTTTTTTCACACTGGGTTTTTAGGGGATGGTGCTATGCAGGGTTGAGGTTTTCGCCACTCACAGACCAGAAGCCGTGCTAATTTATACACCTATTGCTCTTTCTGATGTTTGTCTGTCACCTTTTACAGTATGTTGTTCTTGCACAGGAAAAACTCATTCTGTCTTTCAGTTCATGACATCGAATTGGGTTCCTCAAAAATACTGCCCAAAGCTTTCCTTTCTGCCTCACTTCTCCATTCCATTCAGTAAGCAGTACTCTCTCAACTCCTTTGGCCTTGTTTTGTCAAAGCATATCTCTGTCAGGGGGCACTCACTCTCGTTGGTGACCGTTAGGTGCAAAGACGTCTAAGGGGAAGGAGGATAGCATTGCATAATAGTCACTGGATCCATGAATGCTGGGGAATTGAGGCACAGCATTCTTGGAATAGGACATCCAGTCTGTGGCTTCTGGTTGCAGTTTCTCATACACACAAACAGACCCGTTTAGACAGCCAATGTGAAACTGGAGCAAAGAGCCTCTCTTATGCAACTGAGAAGCAAAGAGAAAGCAACCCGAGGGGCTCCTTGAGTGTCAATAAGGACACATCTCTGGGACCACAAAGCAAACCTGGTTTAGACGGCGAGCCAAGCAGCTGAGCTAAGCCATTCCTGGCTCCTTTCAGCGTCCTCCCAAAGAATCCTCCTTTTACGGCTCAGCAGCTGAGCAAAGACACCACTGACTCTCTCTGCCAAGTCTAACCTCTATTAACTCACCAATTCGAGCTTCCTCTACCCTCAGAGAGTCTTATTGAAAGCCGCAAACTGCCCATAAGTGACGGGATACTTATTGGCTGGGGGACCAAAGCCACTCAGCAGCTGCCCTGACTAAGCCAGATAAAGCAAATTTTACATTCTCAGCTCTCCTCTCTACTCCGACCAATTTAACTTTATATGTGCTGTTAACTATTTGCTCACTCTCTTTCACTTTCCTACCTTCTTTGCTTGTCTTTATCCCCCTGGAACACTTCACTGCATCAATAAGGGCTTCTCAGCTCCTCACTCTGGTTACAGCATCCGTGCCCAAAACCTGGAAAAGACAGACAGAAGGAAAGAGGATCATCATCAAACAGTAGACCTCAGTGAAATCCTTGGTGCTGAGCAGGCAGGCAGTGAAGCAAAGCTTTCTGTTTCTGTTCTGTCGGGCAAAAAAATGATACCCGTTTTGCATCAAGGTGTTCTATTAAAACGCTATGGTTCTGCAGTAATTGAGGTGTTAGACAAGTTAGTGGAGATTGTTAGGTCTTCAACAGTAACCAAAAAAAAAAAACAAACTCAGAGCAGCTCTTCTGCAGTGCATTATTAATAAAAAACACACCTTGCAACACATTTTAAAGCTTAGACTAGGCCATCTGTGGGTCTTTTCGATATGAACCTATAGCATGACATAGAGACTGTACATATCAAGAAATGTAGAGTTAATTTTGTAAATTGATCTGCATCCATCTGCACTTTTAATATACGCTAGACGTGTCATGTGGGTGACAGAAAAAAGCAGAATTTCTGCTATAAATAGTTCTACGAGAAGTGCAAATGTTTTTATACAGGAAGTAATAGACGGTCAGCCCCAAATAGACACAATGCTGAGACAGATAAGACTCCTTAAGGTTGGTTAACTTTAGGATTTAATTTGATAATGATATATTATGAGAAGTGAATGAATCCAGAACTTTTTAAATATTGTATTTACGTGGAAGATACCAGAGAAGAGAGTTCGGCTTAGACTCTGTCTTGTAGGAGGTGAAGACATAAAGACATGGCTGTGTTTTTGGGCTTAACTGGGCTTAAGTAATCTTAGCTTTAACCCAAAAACACTTATTTGCGATGTAAGGTTTAAGCAAATTTAGAGAAATGGGTCATAAAACAAAAAATGAAAAAAGCAAATTAGCATTTTTTGCTTGCAGAAACGAGTTTGTTTTAATAGAATCACAATAAGTTACAGTGTCGAATCATAATTAGTCACTTAAAATGAGCTAAGGGATCAAGTAATGTTTATTCTTGTAAAAACGTCTTCTTTTCTCTATCCTGAGAGAAATGTGCTGTTAAAGCCATAGAGCTTATAAATCAAAGTAAGTAAAAAAAAACCCTACACAACCTGATCTCAAAACTAACCGTTAAAATACTGCCTGAAAAGCAGAATTTACATGTTACATTTTCTTTTTGCTTTAAAGCGTGTTAAATAATCTCATTTCTGTTCATCTCTCACGGCCTGAGCCCCGTCTTACAGCCGCTGACTGGTGTAACTATTAACACAGCTGCTGCTGCCCTTGCATCATCGGATCTCATCAGCAGAGAGTGCAGACTGGAGGAAGGTGGGATATTTGCAGAGTGGTTGCTAGGGAAACACAGCCTCTTATTCTCATGGCAACGCACAGTCCGCTATGGCTGGCTGTTTTCAGCATTTGTTGGATGGTAATGGACCATACTTGGTTTGGTATTTTTCTGTTTGCAGTATTTATCTTCAGAGGGAGGTATAAATCATTTTCCACTCCTGGAAATACACCCAGTGTTTTACAGCTGGAATCTAACGTTAACTGATCCAGGTTAAATCATTAATGACTACTAAATGTCTGTGTATTGATAAAATCCTTTTTAGGTGAGCGTTTGATTTAAAGATGTGGAAAGACGAGGTTCACACCTGTGGGTAGTGTGTAGGAAATTGCATCTGTTAAGTGAGAGTTATCTGATTCACTCTGTTCATTTGTGTGTATAAGAATTATTTGAAAAAAAATTATAAAATTGCATCAGCCTACAGTATGCAAAACCTCTTGTGTCATGATCTTTGAGTTTTAATTTCTGTTTTGCTCTTATTTTTCCCTATATTCTGACCCATATTGACTCTCTTATATCAGCCACTAATGCTATTTCCTCAGTTGGGAAAGTTGCTTTCTAAATTTGAAATATTCAATGTATGAAAATGAGTACAGGTTTCCAATTTTATCCTTCCCCCAGAGCACTTACAGTACTGATGGATTATTATTTTCAGTTCAGCTAATTAGTTAAGAGCTTCCTTCTCCTGTTTAACCTTCTGTTTGCATTCTCAGCACTTTATAATTCAGCTACGAGCAAAAGTTTGTATTATTGTATTTCCCATATTAGTTTTTACACTTTATATAGAGGATATTTGCACCTGCAACTCTCCTTTACTCTAACCCATGACGCACATAAAATAATTGAGCAACAAAGGGTGTTTTTTCTGTCATTTATTATGTCATTTTAAGTAAAAATGTGGTCTATTAGTATCAATAGGGTGTGACTTTATCAAAGCATCGTTGCCCTAAGGTTGTTTTTTTTTGTTTTTTTTTAATACCTGCTATCAAACGGGAAAAAAAGTCTCACCAAGTGTCTTTCCTGTTGTGAATAAACAAGTAGTAACTTAATGAAGACGTTGGATGAATGGAAGCAATGGGGCATCAACTACATGTATTCTAAGTAAGCTGTGTCTCTATCTTAGAAATAAACAAATCAGACTTATTTCTGTATTGCTACAAGGTCAGCATACTCCCATTGTTTTTCTTTTCCATTGAAAGGACTCCCTGTAGTTTATTTTAACCAGCAGTTCTTAACCAGCAGTAACTTGATACTAAGACTTTTTTATTATTTAGCTCAAGTTTAAGGATTCCTGTGCAGTCACAGACTCAATGTAACCGGCTATGCTCATCATGAAACTTCATATGTGGGAAGACAGTCAGATATGATATGATGAGCCGATAATTGCGCTTGTTGTCTTGGAAAGAATGTGGATTCATCTGTTTTTAATATACACCCGACTGGTCTTAATGTTTTTGTCTTGTACAAAGTGCTTAGAGCATTTAATCTTTGAAGATTTGTGTTGCATGAAAAACGAAGTTGTGCTGAAGTGACACGGAAGACATGGTGTCCAGAGACTGGTCCAAAATAAAGACGGTTAAAATTTAAAGCTACGTTCATAAAAATTGAATTGAAAGGCTCGTTTTGGAACCCGTCTACAGAGCCGTGACAGGCCAGGAGGAAGCTAAAGGCACTGAGGAGTTGTTGGGTTTTAAACATGAGGATAAACTGGAAAACAAAGCTGTTTTAAGAATCAAGAATGTACATTGTGGAAAAAGTATATATATATATATATATATATATATATATATATACACTCACTGGCCACTTTATTAGGTACACCTGTCCAACTGCTCGTTAACACTTAATTTCTAAGCAGCCAATCACATGGCGGCAACTCAGTGCATTTAGGCATGTAGACATGGTCAAGACAATCTCCTGCAGTTCAAACCGAGCATCAGTATTAGGAAAGAAAGGTGATTTGAGTGACTTTGAACGTGACATGATTGTTGGTGCCAGAGGGGCTGGTCTGAGTATTTCAGAAATTGCTGATCTACTGGGATTTTCACGCACAACCATCTCTAGGGTTTACAGAGAATGGTCCGAAAAAGAAAAAACATCCAGTGAGCGGCAGTTCTGTGGGCAGAAATGCCTTGTTGATGCCAGAGGTCAGAGGAGAATGGCCAGACTGGTTCGAGCTGATAGAAGGGCAACAGTGACTCAAATAACTACCCGTTACAACCAAGGTCGGCAGAAGAGCATCTCTGAATGCACAGTACGTCGAACTTTGAGGCAGATGGGCTACAGCAGCAGAGGACCACACCGGGTGCCACTCCTTTCAGCTAAGAACAGGAAACTGAGGCTACAATTTGCACAAGCTCATCGAAATTGGACAATAGAAGATTGGAAAAACGTTGCCTGGTCTGATGAGTCTCGATTTCTGCTGCGACATTCGGATGGTAGGGTCAGAATTTGGTGTCTACAACATGAAAGCATGGATCCATCCTGCCTTGTATCAACGGTTCAGGCTGGTGGTGGTGGTGTCATGGTGTGGGGAATATTTTCTTGGCACTCTTTGGGCCCCTTGGTACCAATTGAGCATCGTTGCAATGCCACAGCCTACCTGAGTATTGTTGCTGACCATGTCCATCCCTTTATGACCACAATGTACCCAACTTCTGATGGCTACTTTCAGCAGGATAATGTGCCATGTCATAAAGCTGGAATAATCTCAGACTGGTTTCTTGAACATGACAATGAGTTCACTGTACTCAAATGGCCTCCACAGTCACCAGATCTCAATCCAATAGAGCATCTTTGGGATCTGGTGGAACGGGAGATTCGCATCATGGATGTGCAGCCGACAAATCTGCGGCAACTGTGTGATG